AGGGCCCGCGTGCAGGGAGAGGTGTGGGTACCCCAGGGATGAGGGTGCTATCAGAGGGAGCGAGGATGGGGCAGAGGCCAGCTTGGGGTGGGGGTGGGGGCGCAGGAGGGCATCGGAATGCTGACATGGGCCACATGAGAGGCCCACAGAGGCCCCCTCTCCACCCTGCTGCCCGCTCAACCCTTGCAGCCTCCTGCCGGCCCAGCTAGCCCCCTGCCCCCACAGGTGCCCATGCCAGAGCAGCATTCCGCAGGCCGGGCGGCCTCTCCCCAGCAGAGGCTGAGCGGGGAGGCTACTCAGCAGTGGTCCGGTCAGCCGGCTGAGGGGCACGGTGGGGCCCGGGCCTCTGGCCCCCCCACTCCTCTCATCTTGCCTGTTCCGGGGCCTGGGCCGGTCACCTTAAAGGCCTGGTCGCTGCAGCTGTGGTCTGGGTTCTGGTATCTCCTGCCCTAGGGCGGGCGTGGGCAGCCAGAGGAGGCCACCAGGTAGGTGTGGGTCACCCAGCACGGAGCAAAATGAGCCCTGGGCTGTCCTGGGGTAGGGCGGGGCGGGGCGGGCTAGCTGGAGATCCCAGACTCACCCTCAGGTCAAAGCAGCCCAGGCCAGAGGGTGGGGGTGGTGAGCGAGGCTAGGGTCCGGGGGTTCGGTCTCTCAGGGGAGCGGGTGGAAGGCTTTCTGCAGCTGGTTGGGGAGTGGGCGCGCCCAGCTTCCCGATTTCACGGCCGCCTCCTACTCCGACCCCGCCTCTGTGGCGCAGCTGGAAGGCACCGAGATTAGACTCTGGGACGAACTTCCCGGCAGAAAGGGGGCTCGGTGCGGGACAGTGAGGCCGGGGTCCATCCGCTGGGATGGCAGCGGTGGGGCCTGGCTGGGGGCCCCGGCGGCCCGAGGCAGAGCAGGCTGCACTGGGACCGCGCACACCACGCGTGTCCGCGCCCCCCGCCGGCACGCAGGGCGGCCTGGCCCTTTAAGCGTCCAGACGGCGGCCCCAGCTGACGCGCGGGCTCCAATCGGCGCCCCGCGCCCCCCGCCCGCCGCGCCCGAGGCTCTGGGGCCGCAGCTGCTCGGCGGCTGGACTCGCCGCGGCCCTGCGCCTCCGCCCGCCCGGCCGCGCCCCCGGGGGCCATGGTCGTGGGGCCCTGCGCGGGGGCGGCCCCCAGCGCGGCGCTTCATGGAGCGGCCCCGGCCCGGCCGCCCGGGGCAGCGCGATCCCGCGGGGCCCTGTGAGCCCCCAGCGCCACGGCACCATGGTACGCAAAGGCCCTGCCTGTCCCCCCGCTTATCCGCCCACCTGCCCGCTCTGCCCTCCCGAGCGCACGGCCCGCCGGCTCCGGGTGGAGGAGTTGGAGGGATCTTCTCCCTCGCCGGGTCTCCCCGGCCCCTTCTCCCGGGTCCCCGCGGGCCCGGAATGCGGCGCTGTGGCGCGGCCCTCGGCGGGGAGGGGGTTAAATTCCTGGGGTGGGGGCCCGGGCGCGAGAGGCTGAGGTCTTGCTAGGCACCGGCGGAGGGGGGCGCTTCTTTGAGCCTGGGACGGCGCCGCCCTCGGACTGGGTGATGGGGGGGAGGGGGGAGGTCGGATTCCCGCCTGGGCCTTGGGCCACGTGGGCGCAGGAGCCGCCCTGCCTGGGGATTTGGGGCGACTGGGCCAAGCGGGGTGTGTTGGGGCGGGACGTCCGCAGCTCGGGTTCAAACTACTGTGTGACCTTGGGCCAGTCCTCTGCCCTCTCTGGGCCTGTGTCCTGGGAAAGGAGTGGGGCCATGAGTGCAGAAGAGGCTGGTACAGACACCACCTCTCCAAAAGGAGGCGCCTGGAAGTCATCAACCTGTGTCCCCTTGCTCAGTGTGGGCCCCACCCCCAGCTGCCCGGCAGTGAGGATTGGCGTGGGCGTTTGTGGGGGGGGCGTGCAGATGCATGCCCACATTTCATCCCACGGCCTCCAGGGAGGCACTGGGACAGGCTAGGGAGCCGGTGGCTTCATGGCATGGAGACCGGGTACCCCTCCGATGCAGAAGGCTCTGGCCCTGGGGAGCAGTCTCGGCAGGTGTCCCTGGCACCTGGCCTCCCCCCCACCCCACTCCCACCCCCAATGTGGCTTTCAGGTAGAGTTTGAGGGCTTGAAACCCCCTGGCAACGGGAGTGCCCGACCCCTCCCCTGGTCTTGCATCTTAGATAGGCAGACCTGGCCAGGACTTGAGGGTGGGGTGTATGGCTGCAGCTGGCCTAGCCGATAGGGAGGGATGGGTGCAGTTTCAGGGAACTGGCACATCTGGCTGGGGAGGGGGGCCAGTGCAGCTGGTGGGCCTTGCATGGGGGTTGCCAGGCAGAGGGGTGGCTGAGCCCTGCTGTGAGGTAGTTGACGGGTTATGGACTCTAGCAGTATGGGTGTGCCCTGTCAAGGAAGTCCAGCCAGGGTGCCTGGCAGAGACTCTTGGGCCCCTCCAGGGTGCAGGGTGGCCCTGGCTTGGGGCTTACTGCCGTGGGAACAGAGTCTTTGGGGCACCAGTATCCTCCAGGCTAACCCCTCCTTCCCTGCTGAGGCCAGAGGGCCCTGGGACCAGATCTGCACAGGGGAAGGTCAGGCACTGCCCTTTTTTTCCAGTGCCAGGTAGGAACTGGAGGACACTCTGTGAGGGGAGAGCAGAGTGGACTGGGGGCCCTGTGGCCTCGGGTGTGCTCCCCTCAACAGGCCTGGCTTTAACGAGCCCTTATCCAAGCCCCTTCTGCCACTGTCTGGCCCCTGGTGGCCCTTAGGGGCCCTGTCACAACCTAAGTTGCAGCCTGCCCCCTCACTGACCTGCAGGTGGCAGTAGCTCAGGGGAGGAGGCTGCAGGTGGCAGGGGGTAACGGTGGGGTTCCGGGCAAGCACAGCAGGTCCCCTGAATCAGAGGCTCCCCAGATGCCTCTTCCTGCTTTGTAAGGCATTGAGAGCCAAGAAATCCATCCGTGGGGAGTGGTGTCCAGTCCAGTCCAGCAGGGAAGGGGTGGCCTTAGCAGAGCTGGGAGTCCAGGGGCTCTGCTCCTGCCCACTGTGCGACCCTCCCGTTCCGAGCCTCGGTTTCCCCATCTGTGCCATAGAGTTTGGTCCCAGAAGATGAATCAGAATGAGTCAGAGGAGGGAGATGGGAGGGACTTGGCACCATATCCCTGTTAGATTGGCCAGGCCTGGACAGGCCAGCAGCCCTGAGACAGAGGGGGCAGATGGTTGGCTTCTTGGCCGAGGGGAAGGAAGCGTGGGAGAAGTCAAGGAAGATGGCGTCCATGGTCAAGAGTCTGGCCAGCCTGGGACCAGAGAGAGCATCGGGTGGGCGCTGCCCCCCTGAGTAGCTGGGTATGCAGGGGGGTGGGGTGGGGTGCGCAGGGGCAGATCTGGAAGCAGGTTGTCCCTGTGGCTCCTCGAGGTTCATCCTGAGGCCCGGGGCTGATTCTCATCCAGGTGACTGAGAAGTTGAACATAGATACCACCCTCCACCCGACCCCAGCCCAGTCTGGGCCCACCTACTGCTGCCCCGGCAGTGGAACGACTAGCATGGAGGGTGGGGGTGGGCTGTGGATGGACAGAACTGGGGTTTCATCCCGGGCTTGCAGGGAGGTGCTTGGGGGAGAAGAGCTGATGGCTTTGTGGCAGTGGGGCAAGGTACCCCTCAAATATAGGAGGCTCTGACCCAGCTCGACAGGGCCTGAGGACAGCCAGAAACTGGAACCTGCGGGGTTGGTCCAGCCAGGCAGGTGGTCGATAGATATTAACTGAACATCTGTGCCCCAGACCCAGGCAAGGGAGTGGGCAGCCTGCCTCTCGGTGCCGTCCACCTTTTGGGAAAGCTGCTGTGGAGGGGCCAGGAATGATTAAGCCAGACCTTATTCTGGACAATTCACAGGTGCTGGATGTGGCTCAAGGGCCTGATAATCTGACCCATCAGACTTTGAGGGCCTCTCTGGGCCAAAGGCCCCAGGTAGTGTGGCTTCCAAGATGGGGGGCAGAGTCTCTGGGCCTGGACCACACGTGACCTGGAGTCTGGGGGCCTAGAGGGAAGAGAATCTAGGGCGGTCCTTGGGGGCCTCCTGTCTCTAAGCATGATGGACAGAAAACACAGTTCTGTCCTTCTACCCCCCACAGAACCCCTGTGTGAGGGGGGAGCTGCTGGCGGCCAGGCCCGAGGCTATGGGCAGCTGCCTGGCCCAGTAGGAAGGGGCTGGCTAGATCCCCCCAGCCTCCTCCAGCAGGGCAGGAGGACCAAGGCCTGGGCCTGGATTTCTTCCCAAGAATTTCTACCCCTGCAAAGCCTCAGGCCCAGGCCTTGAGGCCCACTGCTGGTGAGGCGAGGGGTTTCCTAGGTACTACCCCCAGGGGTGCAGTAGCAGCCCGAGGTCGAGCAGTGAGCTAGCGAGCCTGACTTTCATTCTTGAGGGGCCTGGGGTTGGGCAGGCATGGTTTTATCTGTACGTGTGAGTGAGTGTGAGGGAGAGAATCCGTGGAGCTCAGGAAATGCTGAAGGAATGCTCGCATTTGGGGTGGCCACCTCGCCCCAGGTCGCCCGGATCGGCCCAGTGTTGGCACAGAAAGCCCCTCATCCCAGGAAGCCCCTAAGGCCCACACACTCCTGGATGCTGGTGACCCTAGTCCCTGTTCCTTCCTCTTCTCTTCCCCTTCCCTGCCCAGGACGACTTCCTGTCTCACAGGGAAGCGCTGGAGGCCCAGGAAAGTTAACCGACTCACCCAGGAGCAGCCGGTGGTGATTGGAGTCTGAGCTCTGAGGGGCGGCCGGCTCGGGCCCGAGTCCTGGTTCCCCTGCGTCCTGGCTCGAGCTTCGGCTCCTTTCCCAGAACGCGGAGCCAGCAGGGACGGGCAGGCTGCCTCCCACACGGTGGGGCGCTGCCCGGGTTGCTGGCCTTGACCTGACCTGTGCCCTCCGCCCCGCAGTTGCTGGTTGAGAAGACAACAGACTCACCGGCGGCCGAGTTCTCGCTGGTGGAGGACGTGGCCCTGCACTTCGCCTGCTTGATGGGCCGCCTGAACGAGCAGCGCCTCTTCCAGCCTGACCTCTGCGACGTGGACCTGGTGCTGGTGCCCCAGCGCAGCGTCTTCCCGGCGCACAAGGGCGTGCTGGCCGCCTACAGCCAGTTCTTCCACTCGCTCTTCACGCAGAACAAGCAGCTGCAGCGCGTGGAGCTGTCCCTAGAGGCCCTGGCCCCCGGCGGCCTGCAGCAGATCCTCAACTTCATCTACACCTCCAAGCTGCTGGTCAACGCGGCCAACGTCCACGAGGTGCTCAGTGCCGCCTCGTTGCTGCAGATGGCCGACATCGCCGCGTCCTGCCAGGAGCTGCTGGACGCCCGCTCCCTAGGCCCCCCCGGCCCCAGCGCTGTGGCCCTGGCCCAGCCGGCCGCCGGCTGCACCCCGGCCGCACCACCCTACTACTGCGACATCAAGCAGGAGGCGGACGCCCCGGGCCTGCCGAAGATCTATGCCCGCGAGGGCCCCGACCCCTACTCTGTGCGTGTCGAGGACGGGGCAGGGACCGCGGGGGGCGCGGCGCCCGCCGCCATTGGGCCAGCTCAGCCCTTCTTCAAGGAGGAGAAGGAGGGTGGCGTGGAAGAGGCCGGCGGGCCCCCCGGCAGCCTCTGCAAGCTGGAGGGTGGGGAGGGGCTGGAGGAAGAGCTGAGGGGTTCTGGCACCTACAGCCACCGGGAGCAGTCCCAGATCATCGTGGAGGTGAACCTCAACAACCAGACTCTGCACGTGTCCACGGGGCCCGAGGGCAAGCCGGGCACCACTACGGGCCCGGCCACCGTGGTGCTGGGCCGGGAGGACGGGCTGCAGAGACACTCGGAGGCCGAGGACGAGGAGGAGGAGGAGGAGGAGGAGGAAGAGGAGGAAGAGGAGGAGGAAGAAGAGGGTGGTGGCAGCGGAGGGGAGGAGGAGGAGGAGGAGGGTGGCAGTCAGGGAGAGGAGGAAGACGAGGAGGAGGAAGGGCACAGCGAGCAGGAGGAGGAAGAGGAGGAGGAAGAGGAAGGGCACAGTGAGCAGGATCAAGAGAGCTCAGAGGAGGAGGAAGAGGAGGAAGAGGGGGGGGAGGCGGGGAGCCGGCAGGGGCCGGCGGGGCGGCGGGGCAGCAGGGCAGAGCCCCCGCCCCACAGTCGCATGGCCACGCGGTCTCGAGAGAACGCGCGACGCCGAGGCCCCCCTGAGCCTGAGGAGGCCAGGCCGCGGGGCGGGAAGCGGCCCAAGCCCGCTCCGGGGGGAGCCTCTGCAACGGCCCGAGGGCCACAGGCCACTGACGGGCTGGGGGCCAAGGTGAAGCTGGAAGAGAAGCAGCACCACCCGTGCCAGAAGTGCCCTCGCGTCTTCAACAACCGCTGGTACCTGGAGAAGCACATGAACGTGACCCACAGCCGCATGCAGATCTGCGACCAGTGCGGCAAGCGCTTCCTGCTGGAGAGCGAGCTGCTACTGCACCGGCAGACAGACTGCGAGCGCAACATCCAGGTGGGACTCGGGGGCTCCTCGGGCGGGGCGGGGCAGGGGGGCCCCCAGAATGGCCACCCAGGCCGCGCCCCCAGTGTCCTGCTGCCCGCGTCGCCCAGACAGACTTACTGCCGGCCCCTGGGGCCAACGCGGGCCCGGGGTGGTCCGAGCTCAGGGGATAACGTCAGGGAGGGCTTCCTGGAGGAGGCAGGTAGACCTGGGCTTTGGCACATGGAGACACGTGCAGATGGCCAGCGGGGCGAAGGGGAGGATGAGAGGAGGGAGTTGTCTGAGTACTTGAGCCAGCTCTGAGGGCTGAGCCCGTGTTTTAGTCAATCCTAGGGCTGCTGGAAGGCCAACAGGGCCACCGTGTATAGTTTCAGAGATCATGCACCGCACAGAAGCACAGACGAGGTGGGGCAGGGTTTGCCCAGAGGGGGCGCCATTGGCACTTGCACAAAGGCTGAAGAGATCAAGGGGTGGCCCGGAGGAGGAAGCCCCTGCTCTCAGCTCTTTGGAGATGCCAGCTGGCCTGGGCCTGGGAAGAGGGATTGGATGAGAAATTTGGGGAGAGCAGGGGCTGCCGGGGCCAAGCAGGGGAGCTGGGCTGGCTGCCAGGCCTCGGCTCAGCCTGAGTGTGTGCCAACCCGGCCTCTGAGGGTGCAGGCAGCGCAGGGCCCGCCAGACTGCTTTTTATCTTTGCTGGCCTGGAGGGGGTTGTGGGGGCAGCAGGTAGGCGGGTGCTAATTGCCTGAGCTAATTGCTAATTGCAGTGTCCTGTGGAGCAAGTGTTACCTGGGGGATTACCTGGTCTCCTGCCCCACCCTCCTGCACCTGTTCCCACTTGCCTGCCCACTGGGCTGCCCTTTGCCTCTCCAACCTGCACACACCTGAACCTTCCTTCTGAAGGGGAAAGATGCATGTACCTCTTCTGACCTGGGCACCCTGACCCGTTTTTTGCCCAAGCCCTGACCTACTCCAGCCCTCCGGAAGTGTCTCCTGCAGGGATGGGGAGGACAGGAGGAGGAGGGGAGCACGGCCCCCGGGGTTCCCACCACCCTCCATTTCCTCATGGGACCCAGGACCTCCTGCAGTTGCCCCGCCTACCCCCCCAGCCAGCACTTTGGCTCCTCTCTCCTTGGGGATCTCCAGGGTGTCAGGGCATGGGTCCCAGCAGGGGGGAGGCCGGACGTGTGATCTGAGAAGGGCTTCTCCGTGCACTGTGTGCAGCCTCCTCACATGCTATGGCTCTTCAGCCAGTTATGTGTCTCCCCTCTGTAGACAGGTGCCTTGTTGAAATGAGCACGGAGTCAGGGCTTCCTGGTATAGGTGGCCCCTGACCCAAGTTGAGTTCAAGGATGAGGGAGGGCCCCAGGCTGCAGCCCTGGGTAGGTGGGCATGTTTTTAGGGAGTGACCATCCCCAACTCCCAGAACGGCAGATTTGGCGGGTCGCTGGACATCGAGGGCTCTCCCTCCAGCACAGTCCAGGTAGAGCCACTGAGGTCCAGCGAGGAGCAGATTGTCCCAGGGCACATGGTCCTGACTCAGGACCCAGGGCCTAAAGTCCTCTTGCCCTGCAGTGTGTGACATGTGGCAAAGCTTTTAAGAAGCTCTGGTCCCTCCACGAGCACAACAAGATCGTGCATGGCTATGCAGAGAAGAAGTTCTCATGTGAGATCTGCGAGAAGAAGTTCTACACCATGGCCCACGTGCGCAAACACATGGTTGGTGAGTCTGGGCCAGGAGGGGATGGGGCCTGAGGTCAGAGATAGGCCAGCTCCTGGTTGTGCTGGGCAGGACTTCCCATCCCAGGGCAGTGTAAAGGCGTGAGAAGGCCCCTCTCAACTGGGAATCCTGGGCAGGCTGGTTTGCCGTGGCGGCAGCTGTGACCTGGATAGGCTCAGAGGTCGGGGCTACCAGGTACGGTTGGGCAGGTGGGGCATTGCACAAGGGCTCCTGGACAAGATGGCAGGTGAGGACCAGAATCCAGCTGGCACACTGCTAACCAGGCTGTGCATCTGAGCATGGGGTTGTGGCCACCAGGGAAAGAAGTACCCTTTCCTAAATTACACAAAATGCCCTATGGGCTGACACAGGCCCTGTCTCAGTTTGAGGACAGCTGTGCCTCTAACTTTTTCTCACCTTCTGGCCCTTATAGGCCTTCAAGCTCCTCTGAATGAGGAGGCCCCCACAAATGTGTGCTGGGCTCCTCCTCTGCCTTGGGCGTGGCTGTCCCTCCCCTCTAGGAGGGCCCGGCTGGGAGTCTGGTGTTCAGGTGGCCCTCCTTTCTTTGCCTGCTTGGGGTCTGGAGCTCAAGGGAGGTGTGGCTCCCTGCCGGGCCTTACCCCTTTCTCCGGCCACCTGGGAGCTGGGACCCTGGGGTGGAGGTCCAGGCCAGGAGCATGCTGGGTAGCCCAGGACTGGTGGTCTTCCTGGGCTAGGCTTCCCCAGCTCTGAGCTGTAAGGGGGACTCTCTGGCTCCACTTGCTTCCTTGCAGATCTTCCTTGAAGAGTTTGTTAGTCCTCACCTGTCCATGGTTTTGGGGGGAGCACAGCCAATTCCTTCTGGACTGCCCAGTGTCATCCCCTGTAAAGCCCACCTTTGAGGCTCAGTACCACTCCTGGCCTCTCTTTGTAGAAGGACACGCTGAGGTGCACAGAGGCAGTGCAGAGAGCCAGTGGTGGGGCCAGGGTTTGAGCCAAAGCCAGTCCCGCTTGGGGTCCTTGCCCGGAAGTCAATCCCAGGTCCTAGATGGAGCCTCTGAGGCAGACTGTGAAGCGGGGGGGCCTCCCAGGAGGCCCAGCATGGGATGTGGTCAGGCAGGGATCCCCCAGGAGCAGCCATGGTGGTCCCCCTGAGACATAATGGCCTGCCCCGCAGCCCACACCAAGGACATGCCCTTCACTTGCGAGACCTGTGGGAAGTCCTTCAAACGAAGCATGTCTCTCAAAGTGCACTCGCTGCAGCACTCTGGGGAGAAGCCCTTCCGATGTGAGGTGAGTCCCTTTGTCCACCTGCCCCAGGGGCCACCCTGGACAAGCGGGGGGGCGGGGTGGAGAGCAGCAGCTGCTTCAGGGGGCAGTGGAGTCCAGGATTCACAAAGAGGTGTGGCCCCCTGGTGTCTGTGGCTCCCCGCCTCCCACGTCCTGACCCCACCCCCACCCTCCACCACCCCACCCTAACCCAGCCACCACGCATTCAGGGTGGGCAGTCTCCTTGGGCTGCAACCAGGCAGGGGGCAGGCCTTCTGGAGAGGTGGAGAGAGGCACATCTCAGGCAGAGCTGGGATAGAGCTGCAGGCCGCGATGGGGGGGAGGGGTGCGTTCCAACAAATAGGAAGGATGGGGGGCCCTCGGCTTGACGCATGAGGACTCCCTCTATTCTGGGGCCTTTTCCCACTTCCTGCCTTCCATCCCCGCCTGGGCCGAGCCCACCCTTGGCCCCTTCTCTGCCAGTGTGCCGCCTGCCCCAGGAGCCCCTCTCCGTGCCTCCCTGTCCCTTCCCCCCCCCCGGCCTCACCCTCCGCCCCACCCTCAGAACTGCAATGAGCGCTTCCAGTACAAGTACCAGCTGCGGTCCCACATGAGCATCCACATCGGCCACAAGCAGTTCATGTGCCAGTGGTGCGGCAAGGACTTCAACATGAAGCAGTACTTCGATGAGCACATGAAGACCCACACAGGTACGGCCGCCTCCGGGGCCGGGCGGGGGCGTGGTGCAGGCTGGGGACCCCTCCTCGGCCCTGCCCCGGAGGCCTGCCTGTGATGGCCTCAGGTCACCCTTCCCTGGGGCTCAGCGCCATCCTCCGCGCCTCTCCCCGGGTTAGGGAGGCCCCGCGGGTGCCGGGGTGCGCTGACTTCTCGGTGACGCCCCCTGCCCGTGCCAACGCCCAGGGGAGAAGCCGTACATCTGTGAGATCTGCGGCAAGAGCTTCACCAGCCGACCCAACATGAAGCGGCACCGGCGCACACACACGGGCGAGAAGCCGTACCCCTGCGACGTCTGCGGCCAGCGCTTCCGCTTCTCCAACATGCTCAAGGCCCACAAGGAGAAATGCTTCCGCGTCAGTCACCCCCTGGCCAGCGATGGCCCCGCTTCGGGCCCAGGCCTGTCCCCGGCCCAGCCCCCGGCTCACACGCTGCCCCTGCTCCCGGGGCTGCCCCAGACCCTGCCGCCCCCACCCCACCTGCCGCCCCCACCGCCACTCTTCTCTACCACTGCCACTTCCGGCGGGAGGATGAGCGCCAACAACTGACTGCCTCTGCGAGGGACCCCCGCCCCCCCACCCCGGCCCTCCCCTCCTGCCTGGGGGAGGGCAGCGACACCGGCCTGGCACCGCCGCGCGCGCCCCCCCCCCCAGACGGGGCCGGACCTGTGCTGCTTGAGGCCCCTGACCCTGGGGGTGTGCGGGCTCCTGGCCCCCATGCGGGTGGAGGACACCTCACTCCCAAGTGCCCCCCTTCTCAGTGACTCCTTGAAGCCTTTGCTTTTTTTTTTTTTTTGGAGGTGAAGGAAAAAGAAAAGAGGAAACTATTTGCAGCACTCCCTCCAGGTGAGGGGCGTGCTGGAGGCGGCAGGTACAGCAGGGAGGGAGGGGCTGGGGAGCAGGTGTGACCGGTCACTCTGCTGAGGCCTGAGCTGGAGGGGGCTGGCCAGGCAAGCCTGGGTCTGCTTCAGTGGCTCATCTCTGCCTCCCCTGTGCCCCCTAACTTGCCCCTCATCCTGGAGGCTTTGGGGAAAAGTTGGGGTGTCAGCCTCCCTGGAAGGAGTCGTGGATCCCATCTGAGGGCTGTGGACACCGAGGCAGGGGCTTGACTGTGGATGCCCATGAGCGTGTTGTGGGGGGTGGGGGAGTGGCGAAGTGTGAAGGCTGCAGACCCAGCTTTGCACTGTGTGCAGTGGGGGAGGCAGGGGCTGGACCCCAGGCATTTGCTCTCCCAGCTACCACCCTGCCGGCAGGCACAGGGATCCCTGAGCTGTACCAGGCTGCATCGAGGTCCCAGAGTCCAGGAGAGAACATCCCCAGAAGCCACTGGGTCTCAGGGGGCTGGGGGCTAGGCCCTGGGTGGGCAGACGGGCTGGCTCCCGCAGCACCAGATCCCAAGGGCTGCAAAGAGTCCCTGCAGCTGGGTGAACCCCAAGGGCAGGCCCTGAGAAGGAGGCAATGTTTTAAGGTTTCAAGGTGCTATCGGGGGCAGGGGGCAGGACGGCTGTTCACAGAGCACCCGGGTCCTCACCAGCTGCCCTGGTCGTCTCTCCCACACCAGCGGAGATGTGTGTGTGTCTGTCTCCATCCTTCCTCCGAAGGCAGAGGCTTCCTCCTCTTCCTGGGCCTGGCCACAACCCACCCCAGGCCGGCGTCCAGCATCCCTGTCCTTCCTGGGCCTCTGCACCATGGGCGGGGCGCCCGTAGCGTTGTTGGGGAGAGGAGCCCACAGGGTGGGGGGGGGCTCTGGGGGAGCCCCCGCCTGTGCCCAATGCTTGCCCCCATGAGGCTGGCACTAATAGGGACATCCTTTTTTTGTTGTCATTTAACGTCTTTATTCCTGCCTTGAAAATGGGGAGGAAGGTTCCATAAGCTACGTGTTTCCTAGTTAAGCTCTTTCCTTTTGTGTTTATACAGTTTTGTTTGTTATACTCTGCACCTTAAACCCCCACGACTACCCCCACACCACCACCTTCCCAAGCATGGCTGGAGTGGGAAGAGGCCTAAGCCCAAGGGGGACAGCGGCAGGGGACGGGGTGGGGGGTGGGGGGACTGGGCCCCATCAGCCCAAGGGCTGAGGGGGTCGGAACCCCTCTGACCTCCTTGTGAGGCCCATGGCGCTGGGTGGGGGCTGGGGACATTTTAATCATCAATAAACGAAGCACTTTATTCTGTACAGATGTGGGCAGGTCCAAGAAGCCCGAGTGATTTGAGGATTTATAATCCAAGCTACACAGCCCTGATAGTTCTCTGGGCGCAGAGGGGGGCAGTGCCCTGGCCTGGTTGCATTTGGGGCTGCAGCAGGAGTAGTGCGGAGTCAGAGCCTCCAGACACACCCTCAGAATGGCCCTGCTGTCCTTTGGAGAGAGAAGGTGGGCCCCTCACTGAGAGAGGAAAGCTCCCTGTCTGGCTCCCAGTTCTGCAGCTCCCTTACCCCAAGGCTGGGGATTCTAGACTCCTGCTTTACTATAGCTCCCTCTCCTATACCCCTTGATCTGGGCTTCCATGACGTCCTCAGGGTTCCCCCCCCCACTCTCTGTTTCCTCTTCTTCCTTGCTATTTCTAACCTCTGGTCCCAGTGCCTGGCAGCTCTTCAGAGCTGGCTCACATTTCCCCCCAAAAAAGTTGATCTCCCCCGATGTGCTGTAGGTCGGGACACCCATGGGTTCCCCAATCGCTGTCACTGACACCAGGGTCTCCCATGGGGAGGCCCCCCACCAGGGGGGCTAGCTGGCCTTGTCACCAGCTAGCCCCCCTGCAGCCTTAGTGAGTGAACCTGGGGGACCCTGGCCAGGCCAGGTCCCTGTGAGGTATGGAGGGGGAGCTGATGTCGAAACCCTGTCCCGGGACTTGGGTTCACTGTTCTAATACACCTCTCCTCGGAGGGCAGGGGTCCGGATGGCAGGCTGGGCTCTGGTCACAATGGTCATTGTAGCTGTGGGTGGGCACAGCCAAACCCCCTCCTGGGAGGCACCTGTCCCACTGGGGACAGGAGCCCTGGTCCCTGGTGCTAAATGCTCTCTTCCCCTTGGGCCAGTGTGGGTTAAAAGCTCCTTCCCAGCCAGATCACAAGGGTCTGAAGCAATAATGGAACCTCAGCAGTGCCAGTATGGGTAGGGGTTCTTGTTTTACCAGCTTTTACATTTCCTTTTTATTTTTAAAACAAATGAACAAGCACCTAGATGCTGGAGTAAGGGGACTGGGGCATCATACCCACTTCCCAGGGCTGGTGGCAGGGAAGAGGGGTCGGGATCATCACCTCCCACTGGAGATGTGCTGGGTGGGGGGAACCCCTCAGTCCAGATGGACTTTTCAGCCCATTTGGCCAGAACTCGGGTCTGAAACCTGGGCCTGCCCCCTCCCCAGCTTCCGCTGGGCTCCCTGGTCTTGGGCCAGCTGGGGGTGAGCAGAGAGATAAGCTGGGGCTAGAGCCTCAGCCTCCGACCTTGGCATGTGCGGCCACAGCACCCCTTACTGGGGGGTCCACAGTAGCAGAATGGCTGTGCCAGGTGTGTGGACCCTTGATGTCTGGGCCCCAAGTGCATGGCGGATGGCAGGAGGGTGAGGACAAGAGTGAAGGGGAATAAAGTCCGTACAACTGTCCCTTGGCCCAGCCTCTTCTTTACATGTTGCCTGCCCTGACCACTGGCTGGAAAGACCCAGGCCAGAGCAAGGGAGCCCAGCAGCTCAGCGGTAGGCCGCATGGGTCACTGTGCCCTAGAGCAGCTGCAGACCCCATGTCTCTCCCTTAACGGGGGCCTGATTTTTAGGAACACCCAGAGTCAGGAGCTGAGGCAAGAGCGGAGACATGCCCCCCAAACCGGTGTTTGGTCCTGAGCTGGATGCGGAAGGGGATCGAAAGAGGAGAGGTCCTGGGGCTGCTGATGCTGAGATCCCCAAAGGCAGCGCCCGCAGGAGGCCAGGGCCCCTGCAGGACGGTTTTCCACGAGCGCCTGGGCCTGTGGCCACTGGAGCCCCGGGCCAGCCGGGGTCACTCCCACTCATGTGCTCAGCACTTGGCAGGCGAGGGCCGTCTGAAGGAGCCAGCTATCAGAGATGCTGACGTGGGCCCCGGGAAGACAAACGCTCAGATGGAAGGCAGCTAGTGGCCTCCAAGGAGGGAGCAGACGGCTCTCCGTGGGGACCTCTGAGAATTAATTCGTTGTGCAGGTGATGTATGGAGCCCTGGCTCTGTGCCAGGTGGGACTCTAGGCCCCAGGACCACATGGGGAACGAGGCCCCTGTGTTTGCGGCCCTTGGCCCAAGATACAGGAGGAGTGGTCTGACCAGGAGGCGCTGGGTGGATTCCTGAGCCAGAGAGGAGGTGCAGGTGCCCCCCACTCTGTGAGGCCACGCTGACAAGCGGAGGCTGGAGACGGGTGTGGGGACACTGGTCCCGTCCCGGGACTTGGGATTCCTGTTCTGCGAGGGCAGGGGTCCAAACAGCAGGTCCCAGAATTTGGGAGCCTGCACCTTTCCACACAGCCCTGCTTCTTTGACTGAAAGGAACAGGCTCACTCAGTTTCAGTCACCCTCAAAATGGCGCTCGCCGTTGAGCCTGAGGGCCTGGCTGCTTCCGTGTTTCTGCTCTCCACCCGTCTTGCCACCCATCTGCTGGCATGATGCCTCTCTGCACAGCCTCTTCCTTCAGCCCCACCTCCACCCCCTGCCTAACGCTTCCAACTCCCTACTCCAGTGCTGCTTAGGCACGAGTCACGCGGGGCTGGGCGGGAGAGGCCGCGGGGTGGTGGTGGACACCATGGCTGGCATCTCTGGAGCACTCATCCTCCCCCAGTTTTGCTCTCTGGGACCAAACAGCTCGTTAACACCTCATGTCCTGGAGCACACTTCCTGTACTTACACTCTAGTTGCAAGGGAGGCTGGGAAGGCGAGCATGTCTTCTACTTCGGGCAGGTAGCACTCACGATCAGAAAAAGGTGGTCCAAAGGCACTGGGTGGCCACAAAGGATCCCTCTCCCACCCCGAGTCCTGGTTCTGGGGCCCAGGCATCCTGAGAGAAACCGTGGCACATGCCTGCATCCTGGGCACAGGCCTGGAGTGTATACTGCATCCTATAGGAAGTTCCCAGCCTGGCAAGGTGAAGTCTCTGGGCTGGTTCCATAACGGATTCTTCCCCAGACAGAGCCCCCCTTCCATAGCATCCGCGGCTCTTGGGTGAAGGGTAAGACCAGTACATGCTGTGAGCACCAGCCCAATGCCACCCACCATTGTGTTGTGTAGAATCCCTGGGAAAATATCAATTTTTTACAATTAAAATTTTTCTTAGACATAGTTGAGAAAGCCAAATATTTCTGGAAGGCCTTTTTTTTTTTTTTTTTTAACAAAAGCTGCAGTGGTCTGTACCTCCTCTTTTCCCACTTCAAATAGGCAACCAGTTCCAATTCAATTGGTATTTTTGGCGTTGACTTTCAGGCCTATGAAATCTCGCCTCCACTCCTACCTCCTGATAGATTCAGTGTTAGGTATCATTTATTGATTTCTATCTTCAACACTCCCAACACACACACACACACACACACACACACACACACACACACACGGCTTCTATTCCCCTTTCTCCAAGCATAGTTATATTATTCTTTGGGGTTAGATTAACATTCAGTGCATATATTATTATGACTATGTAAACAGTGATCTCAACCAAGTCATGTCATAGAATATGATTCCATTTCCTTTCCTGTACAACTTTTTACTTTTGTCTCTCTTTAAAATGTGGTTACTTCAGTTTCTAGGTGCTTATCGCTTCTGTGTCCCCAAACTCGGCCATAACT